ATGACCTATCTTTATGATAGTTTTACCTATGCCACCACCTAAAGTAGTATTAAATCAACTCTTTTCACAGAGTCTGCAACACTGTGTGGATGGGCAGGTTCAGAGCTGATATCTAGCTGTTTCTTTTTCTTCTTGTGCCATATCCGTTATCAGACATTGGCGATCATGTTGGCGATCCTGTTTCTATCAGCAGCCGCACAAAAAAGTGCTACTGAGTTTTGTCCAAACCAGTCCTTTAGATTTTGAAGCCACAATGTTCTTCTTCTGCCTGGGCCTCATTTGCCTTCAATCTTTCCCTGGAGGATTAAATGGAGTAGGCCGTATTTTTCTGGGTGTCGCATCACATGTCCGAAATATTCTAATTTTCATTTTTTAATTGTTCTGATGATTTCCCTTGGCTTTCCCAGGCAGCTTATCACCTCTTCATTTTTGATCTTGTCAACCCAGCTTATACGTAACAGTCGCCTGCAAATCCACATTTCAAATGCTTCTAGTTTCTTCAGGTGGCCTTCTGTCACCTAGCTGCTACAAGGTTGCAATGTTTTAAAGGCATTCTGTTTTTCTGTTGATTGTAATGCTTTTAAAAGGAAATATAATAAAGGAGAAATGACACATATTGCCTAGATTTCTAGGTCCCATCATAAAAGTTTCATGTGTCTTTTCTCAATTTTAAAGGTATTGTTTAACCTTGTCCTTTTTTGTATTCCATTCTGTATAGAGCAGGGGTAGGCAACCTTGGCTCTTTTATGACTCGTGGACTTCAACTCCCAGAATTCCTGAGCCAGGCTGGCTCAGGAATTCTGGGAGTTGAAGTCCACGAGTCATAAAAGAGCCAAGGTTTCCTACCCCTGATATAGAGGGAGATGGCACGATCCCATTCACTTCATGGCCAATAGAATCTACCACTGTTAAAAATTATAATCCCCACATTCTAAATTTTCCCCTTCCCCCCCCCCCGCCAAATGTTTCCAGGAGTTCCGTTCCATTTTGTCTTCTCAAAATGACTGTATTCTGATATGTTGGGAATTTTATTTAATTTTATTTAATTTTAATACTTCATGATTACCAACTTAAAATGGAAGTATCAGGGTGAATGAAATTGCAGGTAACAGTTAACAACAATGATTTAAAAAAATAGACCAAAATAAATGTTCTGATAAATATTAGGGAGTCTGTGACAGGAAATGAGACAGACATACAGGTCTCTTTAGAACAACATTCTGTTCTGAACTATCTTAATCTTAAACTATTTTCACAATCTAAAGCTCAGGCTATATACCAGTGGTGGCGAATTTATGGCACGCGTACCAGAGGCGGCACTCAGAGCCCTCTCTGTGGGCACGCGAGCTGTTGCCCCAGCAGAGTTCACCAGAGTAGCGAGCACGTGGCTTTTGGAAGCAACAGGGCAGGAAGTCAGCAAGCAAGCAGCGTTTGACCCTGGGATGCCCCGGAGATGGCGAGAGACTGGCCCCGGCCACATTCACCCAGTCTGCCATGACCACTGCAGCCATGCCCACCCAGTGCGCCATGCCCCCCCACCCCCGCTGAGGGCACCACAATGCTGATGCACCCCTGGCATTTTGCGATAAATAAGTGGGTTTTGGGTTGTAGTTTGGGCATTCAGTCTCTAAAAGGTTCACCATCACTGCTATATACTGTATAAACCACATATATTCTGAGACCAGTCAAGATAGGGTGATAATCAGTAAGGCAGAAAGCAGATAATGAGAGATATGGCTTTTTTTCCTCTATTCATTTTCAGTTGGATTTTTTTTTTTTTAATTTCTGTAGCTCAATTCCTTGCATTCTTACAGCCACCAGCAAAAAATCAAATAAATGTAGGGAAGGAGGGATTCTGTATCCTTTCTCCATTCAGTCTCTTTCTTTCCGTTTCAAAGTCTGGCTAGGCTGGTGTTGTTTTAAATAAATATTAAAAAAAGACATAAGGAACTCTATTTAATGTGGATTTTCCAGCCATGCCTGTGTGCTCATATTGGTTTCCTAGTTTAGGATTGTAAAAGAGGTATTATTGCTTATATAAGAAAAGCATCTCAGTTACTTCCTAGTCTTGTAAGAAGTAAACTATCTTTGGCAAAATCATTCACACTTCTCAAGAGTTAAAAAAATTATAGAGTTGAGAAATGAGCAGCTGGTACTTCATAAAGCCAATAAAGTAGAGAAGTGAATATAAATAAGGAATATTATGGCTCAAGATTTCCCCACTGAACTACGCAATATTCTATTTTAAAATACCTTAAAGTCTAATTGGTTCAACCTTTACAATATTTCCAAGTATTTATTTAAAACTCCAGCAATATTCATAACTTAGCCATAAATTATTTATGAGAATACTCTTGTTTTGAAAAGTATGCCATAGCTTAAAAATAAGGTGTTGCAGTATCAGAAAAAGAAAATATGGAAATCAGAAGACAGATGAGTTGTTATTTTGAAACGTATGTGCTCCCTAATTCCATCTTTGCAACATCAGGATTGTAAATGACACCCTGCCCTTTTCCCTAGCAAATCATTTTATTATTAATGAAGCCACCCTTATAAAATAAAGTGCAGATTTTAATGGTCATTGGAAATGTAATATATCACAAAGTGAATTGGACAATAGACAACTTTTTAGTATTATAAAGTGACATTTGCTATATGATTACATTGCATAATCTCTGTTAAAGTGAAAGAGAACAATTTTCAGGGAAGTCATTTCTATGACAGAATTGTAACACAAGTAGGATATATGTTAAATCCACTGGCAGGTTAAACAACAGCCAGTGTCTCAAGTAAGAGGTCTATGAAAAGCCCTAGATAACCCCTACTCCTATTACAAAACAGACATCTAGTTAATATGTATTCACACGACATAGAAATGCTCCTGGTGGATGTATATATTCTTGATGTCACTTATCTGAGAAACTTTCTTATAATGCACTGTGCAGACACTTATCTGAGAAACTTCCTTTCTTTGTGGATGATACACCATTATGTACATGTACTTTAAGCACTGAGAACCAGTTGTGTATAGTGGTTAAGGCATCAAAATAGAAATTTAGGATATTGGGTTCTAGGCATGAAGCCAGCTTGGTGATTTTGAGTCAATCACTCTGTTTAAATCCTAAAAAGAAGGCAATAACAAACCACTTCCCAATATGTTGCTGAGAAAATCAGTGGAACAACCTGCCTCCAGAAGCAGTGAATGCTTCAACACTGGAAGTTTTTAAGAAGAGACTGAACAGCCATTTACCTGAAATAGTATAGCGTTTCCTGCCTGAGCAGGGGGTTGGACTAAATGAACTCCAAGGTCCCTTCCAACTTTATTATTATTATAAAACTGCAGGGACTTGTCCAGGAAGTTGCACAGAATCAAGACTGACCTGTTCAAACAAACAAACAAACAAAACCCCTTTAATCATGGGCTACATGCTAACCACAACAGCTCAAATGAAAAGTAGATGGAAGTACTAACTATTATACCTTTTATTTAACATGTAAACCTCTAAAGAGAAATCCTAATAAAGGATTAATGGTTATACTGACATCTTGAGCAAAGCCATGTTTTACCTTGCAGAGGTTTTGACTGATTTATTGTTCCTGGATTACTTGTCTCACATTATTGGCCTATAAAGACTTTTCTAATTCTGTAATTGTATGTTGAATGCACAGCATACATTTCTAAAGGGTCGATTCACTGTCACCTATTTTGCCAAGTTTAATTAAAAAAAAAGAAGTAAATTGTTTTTTCAAATCCAGATGAAAAGATACTAAATTTATCTTTCTGGCCCCAAATTCTTTTATCATGAATAGTAAAAATTCAGTAGTAGCAGCAAAATTCAGTAACTCACCATGCAAAGGAGTGGAATATTGTCACATCTATGCCATCTATACATGGTCTGGTAAGAATGAAAATTAATGGATCATTTTTAAATCATTGCTGCTGCAATCCAATATTCAGTAGAAACTATTGCATGACTTTCGTCATATTTTACTCCTTACTTATCAGTACCAATACTTAACATAGGAAAAAGGTATTCTTCCATAATTCAAAATGGCTGAAAAGTAACATTATGTAATAGGCAACTCAGCATCCCAAGTCCCAGTACATGTGTGCAGTAGTAGCTTTCTGTATCTCTGATTGGGGCAAAGGTTTGTTGCAATGCTCACTTCTCTCATAATCCCTGAATTTATGATCTGAGTCCAAAGAAACCTCAAAGGTGAAATGATTACATTTTCCATTGATTGTAAAATTGTACATTTATAACTTGAATGCCCCCCCCAAAACTTGTAAATGAATGGACAACACAATGAATCAACTTCAAGGTCTTATATCACTTTGGACTATCAGTGTAACATTTCACTAAATGAAGTCATTACAATGAACTACTGCTAGAAATGTTGAGGTGAAAGACAGTGATTCTAGCCATCAGTTCTTGGGGCAGCCTATAGATTTTATAAAATTATTATTTAATAATGTTATTTGATTTTTATCCTGTCTTTCTAACCAAAGAGTGTATATTATGACATGATTAAAGTATGTGTATGCATATGTATGTGTGTGTATACATATGTGTGTAAATTCCTTCCTCACCTTTATGGGTGGTCTGTGTCTTTCTCAATCTCAGGTCCTCTACCAGAGGCCTGAGAGTTTGAAGATTCCACACAGGATCTTAACTTTTCCTAGCAATACACTCTTCTGGACAAAGGCTTAATTTTGTCCCTGGGATCTGTTGGAGCCACTGTCCCAGCTTAGGAGGCCCAGCCCCAAGTGCTCTTACCATTTACTGCTCTTTATTTTCCACATCCTCTCTAGTTCCTTTTTCAGGCCCCCAGTACTTCTTCTGCTTCTCATATGCCTTTTTCCTGATGGTGTGTGTGTGTGTGTGTGTGTGTATATGTATGTATGTATATATATATATATATATATATATATATATATATATATATATATATATAATTATTTGTAAATCAAATGTTTTGTTTTTGTTCCTATCTCTTAGATCGAATTGCACAGAATATAATTAAGTCCCATTTGGAGACATGTCAGTATACAATGGAGGAACTACACCAGCTAGCCTGGCAAACCCACACATATGAAGAAATCAAAATATACCAGAGCAAGGTAGAAAAACATTTCAATAAAATGTCTTGTTTCTTTCTTCCACAAAGAACTAATATCTGCATTGCCTCTCTAAATTCATGATTGTAACTACAGCAGTTGCAAAATTAAATAAGGATGTTTTAAAAGATGGAGCAATCGTCCCAATCTCTATCTATTTTTTTGTACTAACCTTTTGTGTCTATCACTTTGTGTACCTTCCCTCAGTTGTGTTCCTGCCTTTTACTTATGGTCTGTGGGGGAAAAAAAAATCTTTTCTCTTATATTTCATGAATTTAATTTACTGGATGATCTGAGGTGCTGATATTATTTTCTTTACACAATGCATATTGTAGCTACAATAATCATCCCTTTCTTACTCAGCTTTTATTGTAAAGGAGAAGATTAAAACCCCAACTACTACAGTTCTTTCTTATAATAAAGTTACCTCTTTCCCTTCTCTGAAAATACACCTGCTATAAGCAAATGTGGAGAAAAAGGTTTTCCAACAAACCTAACAACCTGTCATATGGTTATAACCTAAGTCATTCTATGAGTTGTTGAAAGCATTGTCATTTATTTGTGTTAGTACAAGATTTCTGAACACAGTTTGTATGTTTAGTTGCCATGTATTTAATCGTGCAAGTTTCCAGATGAATGTGCACTTAGAACAATGAATGAAACATGCCCAACTGATCTTCTAATTCTCTGTTCTTTTGTGATTTCCACTTGTAATTTCCTCATTAGAGAAATATCAAAAGTGGAATCATATAATTTGATTGTGTTAAGAACTTGGCAGAACTAATGTATTATCCAGACTTATTCAAAAACCATTCCTGGGTTTAAATAAGGAGGGGTATTCCTAATACCGGTCTTTTTTTTGTTACGGGTCCACCCTCCTAGAGAAGTTGGTGATTGGAATCAAAGTGCTAGAAATATAAGCATAATGATAGTGAAGCAGAAACCTTTATTAAAGAAAACTAGGGATTTATTTAACATCCAGAAGGGCAAATCATTTCATGATGATCATAATCTAATTCAAGAGTGGACAAATTTTATGGGGAATGAGAATATTTTTTAAATGAATAAGAGCTGCAATGAATGGGACAATGACATTATGCAAGTGGGTAAACAGATTCATGAGACAGAGGAGGAGGGGAACTGAGTTTTAGAAAAAAAAAAAAAAACCTTAGCCAGATACATTAAACATTAGATGTTTGGCAATCTGCTACCAATTTTCAACAGCATAATCTCTACTCATCTCTGACCTAAAGAACATTCTCTGTCTGGTTTCCTTCTTTTTCATGTGATTTCTTCTTGAAGTCAAGAGAAGCATTATGGCAGCAGTGCGCAATCCAGATCACACACGCGATTCAGTATGTGGTGGAATTTGCAAAACGGATAGCGGGCTTCATGGAACTCTGTCAGAATGATCAGATTCTACTTCTCAAATCAGGTTTGTGAAGGAGATTATAATAAATACTTAATACTTAAATACAATACTTAATCAGCATCAATAAAATTTGATCAATTTCTTGTTGATGTTGTTATTTATTGTTGATCAATAAAAGAAGATAAAGATACAGGACCTGTTATGCTTAGTAAAAATTACAAATTCTTAACATTATTTTTTTTCTATTCCAGAATGCAGAATAGAAAATTGCACAGTATCTATCATGTGGAAACACCAATGTTATAGATTTAACTGCACATAAAAGTGATTGAAAGCATGATGTTATAAGCCGCCCCCCCCCAGTCAATTGACAGTGAGATGGGCAATATATAAATTTATTAAATAAATAAATCTATCATCATCATAGTGGAACAAACTTTTAAACAATTAATGATCTTCTAGAATAAAGCTTTGATATATCTTTTCTTACAACATTCATCAAATACCAGAGATGGTACTTTTACAATACAGAACTGGCTATACCATCTTGTTGGGATATTTCTATGTAATATCTCAGGACCTTTGTTATCATTTCAGGCTGCTTGGAAGTTGTTCTAGTGAGAATGTGTCGTGCCTTCAATCCACTCAACAACACCGTCTTGTTTGAAGGAAAATATGGAGGAATGCAAATGTTCAAGGCTTTGGGTAGGCAGGCTGTTTTGTTTATTCAAACTGAGGGCTTTGTAAGTAATTGGGATAAATATATATATATCAGTTCATCACCATTTGCAGTATTTAGGGGACCAAGAATCTGCTAGATCTATTTCCTTGAAAGAGAATTAAAATCCAGTTCTTATCACGATATTCTGCTTATGTCCCATATAGTAGCAACAAATCAACTTTCTTGTTTTTGAATCTCTGTTTATTCAGTAATTATTTTACATGCTTTTGCCATGTCACCTAAGTAAGCAGAATTGAAATTCATTTCTCCCGTAGATTTATGAGCTACTACCAAATTATTAAAAAAAATACAGGCTGAAAACTTCTACTAGATTTGGAAAAGGTAGAAGTTTGGATTTTGGATCAGAATAAGATTAAGGTATAAGGTAGTACACACACATTCTGATGGAGGAATCCAAAGATTTAGAGTGAGAGAGCTTAGGCATTCATAGCAGGAAAGATGAGGGCCAGTTGGTCAGACAGACATCATAACATCCTGAGGCAGCTTTTATGTCTGACCTCAGGATACAAGTATGAAAGGGCAGAGGTTATTTTGTAAGATCACAAATTCTAGTGTGTTCAGAAAGTTTTAAAAAGTAACTTCAGTTTTTTTTGTTTGCTTTTTTTTCTTTTGTGGATAGCTAACCTGAAAGGGGAAATTACTTCTACATAGATTACATGAAGTGAATGAGCACATTAAATTTATAATAAGAAATTAAGTGACAGGTCACAATTTGTCTTTATATTCCTAAGTGGTTTAGATCAGGGGTCCCCAACCCCTGGTCCATGGACTGGTACTGGGCCACGGCATGCCAGCAACCAGGCTGCACAAACAAGCAAAGCCCCATCCACAGGATGCAGGCAGCACACAAAACCATGCCCCCTCTGGTCTGTGGAAAAACCTCTCGCCACGTAACCGGTCCCTGGTGCCCAAAAGGTTGGGGACCTCTGATTTAGATAGGTGAATGACTGGCTGCTCCATTACAAACCTGATAACTGTTCACTAGTTCCTCTTTCATGTATTCCATCTCTAAAGTTGAGGTGGGTATTTAAGACAGCAGCATGCAGAATTGATGGGCAAATGACAGGAAAGCCCACCAGTATTATTCTCATGGATCATGTGACTCCCTTGAGTGGACCCAGGACTGAGAATGATTAGGCTGTTGATAGAGCTGAATGGAAAACTAGATCTCTTCAACCATAAAGTATATAAGCTTAACTAATTGAAGCATGTGAGTGTGAGATTCATTCTCGCTATTTTCAAACCCATGCCCAGAAACTTCATGTAGGAGGTAATATCTTGACAACAGTGCTTAACAGTTGAGCTGTATAAATCCTATAGCCACTGCCTAAGCAGGGGGTTGGACTGGAAGACCTCCAAGGTCCCTTCCAACTCTGTTATTCTGTGCTATCCTAGAGGAACATATTTCTAATGCTCATACTGTAATTCATGTGAAAGTAGATCTTTACAGAATATCAAAAACTCAGCTGCTGGGAGGAAAAATGGCTTTTATTTTCTTGCACTGTTTCAGACACAGAAGGAGCATGAAGTTCTCAGCTTTTCTAGTTGAAAAGATCATTGCATTTGCAAAGTTTCTCACTCAGAAGATATTTCCAGAACTTGACTGTGTTCTGTGTTGCCTGTAGGTTCTGATGACCTTGTGAATGAAGCATTTGACTTCGCAAAGAATTTGTGTACATTGCAGCTGACCGAGGAAGAAATTGCCTTGTTTTCATCTGCTGTTCTGATATCACCAGGTAGTTTTCTGCAACTGATTTTCCTTTTCTTACATTCCACCACCGTCAATTGATGGAATCCGTTTTGTGTTTTATTTTTAATGGGGTATGAGTTATAGATTTAGAAGCTAGGCCCAGAAAAAAAGTCATTGCTGAGCACCCCACAGATATCAGTTCTTGTAGTTCAGAAATCCTCAACATCAGATCAACTGAGATGAATGAACAGGACAGTTTGATTGTTACTTGGAGGTAGTTTGCAAGTACTTCCACTTTCTTGGAAAATTCTTTAAATTCAATGTCCTTTAAATTTATAGAACATCTTCTGAATCGTAAACTATGTTCCTGTGGAATTGATAACACTGCATGGCACATTAATAGATTGATCTGTTAGAGAAGTGCATTGAGGATTTCACAGCAAAGTGGAAAGCCATTGTTTGCTTAATTCAAAGTAATTCGATTTTGATTTGAAACTATAGTAGTGAACTTCCTTCACAAACCAGAGATATTACATTGCTGAATATTAAACCAATTACCATGAATCTCCTTTCCACCTACTAATGACTTATGTTTATGCTTATTTAAAATTTTTGTTGTCTTCTTTGGCCAGATCGAGCTTGGCTCTTAGAACCAAGAAAAGTCCAGAAACTTCAGGAAAAGATTTATTTTGCACTTCAACATGTGATTCAGAAGAATCATCTTGATGATGAGACTTTGGCAAAGGTAGAGCATCAATACAGAGAACCCAATGTCTAGAAATACAACTATACTAGGATATTTGTTTGTAATGGCAGTTTTCCCCAGTAAAGAAAGCAATTACTCAGATCTAATGATTCCCAGGCTTACTTGGAAAAGCTTTGTCAATGACATCAAAGGAAAGTACAGACCTACAGGTATATAGACTTCCATGGGGAAGCTTGCTTAAACAGCAGGTTAATTTAGACATAATACCCTAATTGGTTTTGGGGTCCAATTCTGGCTGAAGCTAGTTGTTCCTGGAACACTGTTCCTCATCTCTAACAGGCTATTTCCCACCATATTTATGGACCTCCAGTAGGTTCATGCGGAAGACCAAATGACATAGCTGGAAATGTGTTGCTGGAATTCTTCTGTACCTCAGAAGCACCTACTGGACTCAAACCACGAGTTGCAGAGGATCTTCTCTGCAAGGCCCTTCTGTAACCAATGCCCTAATTAGCTCCCTTGTACAAGAAGCAGCGTGTGATTGGCTAGGCTTACTACTAAACTACATTTGAAGGGAATGTTACTTTGAAAAGCTGCTTGAAGAAGTAGCCTTGACTACAGTGTAAGTATATTTTTCTAAAGTCAGATGAGCTGATAGGTTTTACCTCACCTCCTTGACAGGTGTCAGGGGGTGAGGTATACAAAGAGGAAGAGGAGGAGATTATATAAGTGGGGGGGGAAAACCAAAGTATTGAAAGTTGAATAAGCACATTGCTGGCCCAGTCAGGCAAGGGACTCCCCAAAAGTCATCTTGCCTCTGGCTCCCCTCAGAATGGATGATGTCACTGCTGCAAATTCTCTTCTACTGAATGGAAGCATGCAAAGTTATGCTTCTCATGAGAGAAACAGACATTTGCTATAAAATGAGGTGCTTCCCTTTGAGTTTTCTGGCTTAAGCTTCTCAAGTATATTAAGAAGGCCTTAACTGATTAATCTAATTGACAGGATGCCTGTCACAGAAGTTCTGATTTTGTCTTTCTAACAAATCACTTTTTCTTTCCTAAAATTGACTTTAGCTAGTCTTTGGTTCCCTAAACTTTATTTGAGTGATTTAAACCTCTTTAAGCAGTGTGTACTTTGTTTATGAACTGTTTAATGCCCAGCCTTAGCTTTAGTTGGCATAGGAAAGTCAGCAATTTTATTAAGCAGCCCCAAATTAAATTCTACTACAATATTTTTAAAAGTAAAAAAAAAATAACGATGTTGGAAGAATTTGAAAGTATGCCTTTACGTACTCTTTGATATGGAATAAAAAAATTTCTTGGTTTATCTTTCTCTGTCTGCCTTCCAGTTAGTAGCCAAGATACCAACCATTACTGCACTTTGCAACCTGCATGGAGAAAAATTGCAGGTATTTAAACAATCTCATCCTGATATTGTGAACACACTTTTTCCTCCATTATACAAGGAACTGTTCAATCCAGATTCTACCACTGGTTGCAAGTGAAGGGAAAGCTAAAGCTCCTGGAAATGCATCACTGATCAGACAAAAGAATTGTTGTCATGAAGACTTTCTTTAAAACATGTCACTACTGCAAACCTAGGAATGTCCTGCACTTAATAGAATTATTTTTCACCGCTACAGTTTGAAGAATGTAAATATGCACTCCTGACTGGAGCCTCTATGGTTTCTCTTCTTTTGGTTAATTTTGTTTTCCGTTTTAATTTTTAACTGACCAGAAAATCACAAGTATAGAATACTGGGTGTTATCTTTATTTTTTATTTTATTTTATTTTATTGGAGCTATGTTCTGGGAGACCACTGTTTATAGATGTTTATTGTAGATATAAAAGAAAGCAGAGGAGTAATTTGCAACATTACTCTGTTTAGTCAAATATAATTTAAGGAAAATCCACTAAACTAGGCTTACCTATTTCTATGTTTTAGCTAGTTAAATGCATGTGGCCATTTGTAGCTGTCTTGGAAACAGGTGTGTATGTGTATGCAAAAAGTCATGGACTTTCCCTTTGTGGGTGCGGCATCAATACATTGAGGGCTTCATACTGATTTTAAAAGGCTCTGCTTTCCCTGAATTCTTGGCACAAGAGTGAGCAAAGCATATTTCAAAGCAGTAGAGTGAGTATACCATGCTTGCCCTATCGCTTTTCCCTACTCAGTATACAAAGGTTGTTGGGGACTGTCCATTGCCCTATGTGTTATCCTGGGGTGGGGGGATAAGGGAACAGCTGGAGTACTGAAGTCCCATATGGATTCTCTGACACATGGGGAAACTTCATGTCCTGTCTGTCTATGAGCAGTATATATCAGGGAGGGCCAACATTCACACTCTTGAACCTGATCTATCCTTTAGACCATGTTTGTAACCAGGAAAAATTTTTATGCACCATTCAATCACCTCTCCGTTATAAATTCCAATAAAACAGAATCATCCAGGGCATTTCTAGGTATGTGGACTTCAACTCCCAGAATTCCCCTGCCAGCATGGCCGTTGATAAGAATTCTGGCAGTTGGAAATGGCCAAGGTTGAGAAACACTAATCTAGGACCTTATTTATAAAATCCAGAGAAAGAGATGCAATATTAAATCTCTCATACACAGAGGAACACAACCTAAACATCATTTGAAAAACATTTTTTTTCCTTTTTGAATAAAATTGCAGGAAATGTTTTGATCAAGATTTAATTCACATTTGACAATACTATCGGAGAGAGGATAAAATTGGTTTATGAGTCAACTGTTAGCCATCCCTGAAATGTACCAAATACTATACACTTATATACATATATGCGTAAGGAATGTACACACACAAACACATGCACACTTGTAGCATAAAATAACATCCCTGTTTTTAAGGATGTTCTCCTGCATTTTTAAATTTCTCTTTGTAATGTGTTAGGTTTATGTTGGGCAAGTAGAATTTTGCTCTGCCATCTATATATAATGACAAGATGGTACCATTTCTGATCAATTTGTATATAATGTTTATGAGTACTCAGCCAGTGAATGAAAAGTCAGATTTGTGTAATTGGTGCCAAAGCCTTGTCTGGATAATTCAAATGGACAGAGAGAAAATTAATGGGAGATTTTTCTTTTCATCAATGATAGCGCTGAAATCTATACTAAACTATACTATTATCAAATATATTACCAATCAACTGTTTAAATTGCAGAGTACAACATACAGCATCCAACGCAGTACATTTATTTTGTGTGGACCAGATAATTTATTTTATTAATCTTTCCTGAAACAAGAACAATTAGAGATTCAGTTTGCTCTGACATCCTTCAAGGGCCATCAGAGCAGGTCCAGTAAGAGACAGCTTTGAAGAATGAAGTAAAAGTCACAAGGCCATCCAGTCATCAGCTAGGATCTTTTGTGAGAGTGCAGACTTCCCATATGCATCACCATTATATAACTATACTGCAGCTTTGGGATCAACAGCTTTTTCTTTGGTTCATTTCATATCCAGAGCTCTAGTTGAGTAGTTTCTAATGTGCAATAAAGTTGAAGCTCTGTCTTTAGATCTATTTTCCCTACAAATGACTCAATTAATAGGAAAATAGTTATTCTACAAAATTTTATACCCTAGTTCCAGGATACTTTCTATTAAAATTTTCTTAGTCTCCCACAAATTATAAAGTGGAATTCATAAACAGGTACAATACAATTGTCTTCTCCCTACCATCACTCTCTTTCTCTTGAGTTTCTCAAACTATATTTTTCATTAGTCCTTTAGGATTGTGTGATTCAGATTCACTCTTCGGAGGTATGCACGTACAGTTATTAAAGGTCTTACAAAGACACATCCTTCATAATTGGGCCTTCATTATTGCTCTGTCTTACCATCTTAGAAATTGAAAAAAACTATAGAATACTTACATTATTTTGCATTACACCTGCATTCAGATGTCTGCTACCCCATAAAGTCATTCTTTTGAGCTTCTGACATTAACATTCTTTACAGATTACAATGTTCAATGCTATTCTTTTAAAATTGCTTTATTCACACAGTGTTCTGCACTCCAGGTTTTCCTATAGAAATATATAGCAGGGCTGTGGTACAATAGTGTTTTTTGAAAGGTATTCAACATCTCTACCTCTGATTTTCCAAACCAGAAATACATTATCTTACAGTCCTCTTGAAGCAACTCTTTCCTAAACTGTTAAATTAATCCATTGAGCTCTGAACAATGTAATGAGAGATCTAAAGAAGATGAAACTTGGAAATACATAAGCAGACTCCCACTCATATAATACAAGAGAGCTTCTCTCTCTTATACAATCCCTCGAAATTTGCTAGTTAGTCCCTAAATCATCCATTACAGGTTTTGAAAGTAAACATCAGTGGGGATTGAAAATTGCAATTTTTGTTTCTGCTAATAGAAGCTTTTTGCTGGAAGGGATTAATTAGCTACTTCTCTTAATTTAGAGGTACCATATATTCCGGCATATAAGGCGACTGGGCGTATAAGATGACCCCCAACTTTTGAGAAGATTTTCAGGGTTTAGAAAGTCATCTTATACGCCAGAAAATACAATACAATATTGAATTTCTGTTTATAGATGAGCACAATAGGAACTCCTTTGCTGCTAGAAAGCTTTGTCCTGTTAGTGCTTATTTCTGTAAAAAAAAATAGGGCTGGCCACTAGGGGGCAGATTGGTTTGAAATTCAGAGAACAGCTACCCGTATATTCCTGCGTATAAGATGACCCCTGACTTTTGAGAAGATTTTCAGGATTTAGAAAGTCGTCTTATACACCGGAAAATACGGTACCTGTTATAAAAGGATGAAATGAAGAGCAACATACCATTTTCTTCTCCTGTCTGTCTGTCTGTCTGTCTGCCTCTCTATCTATCTATCTATCTATCTATCTATCTATCTATCTATCTATCTATCTATCTATCTTTATCTCTCTCAAACACACACACGCACACAAATATCACTACCATAATAATTTTCCAACTGTTTAGTTCTGACATTTGTATCTTTTTCTTGCAAGGCTCCAGAGCCTTTTAGAGATAGGCAGAAGATGCACCTTAGCCATGCCACAGTATTGTTTTGCAGTAATATTGCAATTCTTACAAAAAGAAGTGTGTGAGGTGCAGTTATATCAAAACATCTTTCTTGGATCAATGTGTGCTACATCCTATTTTATTTTGTTTAAAACTTTTCCTCTACAAGGAATGGGATTGACAAGAGACACTGTCCCAGTAAATGATATCCTTCTTGTCTTTAGTTGATTTTTCTGTTCTGGAACCAACACAGCAATAACACTTTATATTGTATTCTGATAATGTACAAGCACTGAGTCACTTTATTCTCAGTGTCTGAGCAGACAGATGTAGACTGCTTATTACACTTCTACAGGGACTTAATTTTGTATAAATGTCACTCCTGCTGGCTCTCTGTATAAAGAATTAATTCCAAGAGTCATATTTCCTTCTAATGGAAAGATTACTTTACCGATTGCTAGGAAAACAGGGTAATAGAAGACACTCAATTAAACCAGGCTGTTTCCAAATGCAATATATATTTGATGATTGTTTGCATTAGGGACCTTGCAGGACTTGAGACTAGGAGGTCTTGAGCTCTTCCAATTCTCATATAATACGGTCCTCTTGATTTCCTTCTTTTTACTCCATCTTGATTCTATATTGGGGGGAAATTGGGAAGTTTCCCTTAAATTTATTTTATTCTTAGAGCTACGCATACACAAATAGCTGTCCAAGTTGATCATTCCTTTAATTCCATTTCTCTGCACTCTGCCAATATGTTGGAAGGAAGGAAGGAAGGAAGGAAGGAAGGAAGGAAGGAAGGAAGGAAGGAAGGAAGGAAGGAAGGAAGGAAGGAAGGAAGGATTTTTTTAAAATTAGTAAAATTAATTAATTGGTAAAATTGGACAATGCCTGGGGCCCAGATCAAGTATAAGGTCCATTACATGTTTGCCTTTTTTAGCAAATCTTTAGGGAAAATCAGACTGATGACATAAAAGTAAATTCATCTAGTGATTCCTTCACATTAAGGAGTTTGTTCTCTCCATTTTGAAATAACAGGAGAGCCCATCCAGCTAAGGAGCCCATATACACCATGGAGCAAATGTGGAACTGTAGATTGGGTTCAGTTATCGTCCCAACATGGCAATATGGAAGCAGTGGTGAAATGCATATGGACTTGAAACACTGAAAACTGAGACTTCCAGATTTTTCTTGACACTTAATTGTATGTCTGACTGTGATGACCCAGCCATTTTGCCTCATTTCTATAAGCTAATCAACACCTGATGTACCACAAACACTATAGCGCCATCTTCTTCTTTCATGTGAAACCTTCACTCTTTGTAATTGACAATCACTGCTTAAAGCAGATTTGCACTGTATGCCACTCAGGGATATTATTACCTTATTAAAAATAATATATAATGACATTAATATGAAAGAAAAAACTATTAGAAATGTGTTGAAAGGCACAAATTGAGATGCCAAAATGTGGAAAACCAGACAAGGCTTTCAAGCCAGCTTTAGAAATGAATGGTTAGAAACTGAATTCACTGTTGTTCTTCTTGAGCATCATTCACCACTGGTGGTACATTTTCATTAGGAGCACAAAATCCATATTTTAAACGTAACATACATCCATTGAAATCAAATTGTTGCGCATATAGGCAAAAATTTCAAACCATTTGGCAAAAAATATTGATTTGAAAGATTGAGGATGGTGGATTTATTGCACAGCTATTGTATATGCACTTACTTGAATATATATCTATAAATCAGTGAGACTTGGGATTTAATCTAGATAAATGATTTAGAATCAATGTCTTGGACTCCAAACATTTCAATGTATTAACAATTAACCGCTGATTTACCACATGGAGAAATATATAGGACAATGCTAGAAAAAGTGGGAACAGGTCATATCCATAGTTTCTTTTTATTTTAGAAGAGCCCTTTCGTGCAAGTCTGTGTGTTGGCAATCAAAATTTTTCCATGATCTTAACAATTCACACCAAATATTTTCTGGCCTAACTATAATAATATGAATTACTGGCATATTTTGGCACAATTCATGTGAGTGTGTGTGTGTGTGTGTGTGTGTGTGTGTGTGTGTGTGTGTGTGAGAGAGAGAGAGAGAGAGAGAGAGAGAGAGAGGAGTATGTGTGTGTGTTCCAAGACTAAACATCTCATAGGATTCATCTAGGAGAAATTGAAAAACTGTTGTCTATAGCCATAAAGACTACTATAAAAGCCACTGAAGTTGATAATGCTGGGACAAATTAATCAATGATCTCCCTCCTAACTTCCTATATTCCAGGATATTGCCTTTTCCTTACTGCATCACATAATTTAATCTAGGTTGGATCACAAACAACTATTGCTATATTTACTCATCAACATCCTTTAAAGTATCTTGCCTTTGTGAAGTTTTGCCAACAGCCTGTGAATGATAGAAGATGAATGTGCCTTTAGTATTGATTCACCCACTATTTTAACTTGTCAGTTAATAGTTTTCAACAGTATAGCTTGCATGATACACTCATTAATTTGTTGGACTACAATCAAACAAACCCAACTTCAAATATATCCTGGGTATTGGAAATTCATTGGACTAATCTCTTGGTTTGGCCAAGCTCATTGGTTCAGTTTGACCTGCTGGAGAAAATGTGGGGTATAAATCTAACAAACAAATAAAATAAATGACAATACCTTTTAAAACAAGTGACATAATCTCAATTGGGAAACAAATGGTATCTTAAATTGGAATTTCACATAGCATATAAAAATATTCTAAAAGTAATACCATTTATTATTTTAAAATGTCCTCCTTATTTTAATAGCTTACCATGCCTTTTATGTGAATAAAATAAAAATAAAAACACCCCCCTTCCTTGAATCCACTTAGTAATTCCTTGCAAACTAAAGCTGTTCTAAAAAACTAAATTCGACATAAAGGGAAGATGAGGGGGGAAATCCATTAAGTTGCTACTAGTCAGTTTGGTATTTAAATGATGTAAATATAGACCAAGAGGGACTTTGCGTTATTAAGTATTTTTGAAGTCCTTGATTGCACTTCAGTCACCCGTCATCCTCATTTGCATTCTTTTTCGATTTTTGGGGGTCCAATTTGATCAACAACCCACAAGTTCTTTAGCACTTTCTTTAGCAAAGTCCTATAATAGCAAGGTTAAAATGTGTGTTTATCTAATCCACTGAAATGACTGGCATTTAAGAGAGGGCAGGCAGAAACAGCATTCTACTAGCCCAATACTGGCTTATCAAAATTCCATGCAGAGTCCTTTCCTATCACTACTTACCTTGGTCTGATTGCAGTGGCCAGTCTGTGCTGTGACAAACTTGTCCTACCATGAATTTTCCCAATGACATTTGATGCATTTTTTCCCTTTCCTATCATGCTTGTTGTAGAACCATGCTTCAGCAAATTGAATAAGGAAAAACAAGGTCTAGCAGGATCTTGAAACAGGACAAGGTTGGTGAAGGGAGCTTGTCCTGAACTGCATTGGTCCGCTTCAACATTCACACTTACTCTAAATTTGTCGTATGCCTCTTTTTGCATCACATGAAAATATTAGGATTGGGCAAAGCATTTGAGGTTCTCCCAAAGCAATTTTTCACAAGTAGGAAGATTATACCGCAGTTTCATGAGTCATCTGCCTATGCATATGTGTACATAGCAATTTCACTTCTGGCAGTCCTCTGAGGGCAGGGTTTTTTCAGCTGCAGCAAAAGCCATCCAAAAGACATATAGTAGCTACTTTAACATTTCAAGCTGGGATGTTCAGCTTGTGAATGTGCTTTGCGGGACTACCTCCTCCAAAAGCTTTGCACAACTGTAAATCTATTCACAACGTGGCACACTAGAGATTCATGTCTTATAAAACAATTTGAATTTTATGTATATAATCTAATCTTCAGCTCTGACAACACTAAGAATATGAAAGGATTCTGCTAGATTCTTGAAGAAACTGTTTCATTATTCAAATATTCTTACACTTGGAAAATTCTTCCATATACCTAATTCTGAACCACGTTTTACCCTCAAAATAGTTGTTTCTCCTTATTTAAAAGATACCTAATAATATTTCTCCAGTGGTAACTTCCAGAACTTTCTTTTAAAACAGCAATCTGAATGTATAGTGACATGGACTGATTGTGCTCATACATTAATTTTAAAAGAAACAAAAAAAATTCCATCCTTTCAGTTTACATAAAAAAAATAAAGAAACGCACAAATATTTTGGAGGACTATAATGTGGTGATCCAAAAAATGTTTCCAGCATCATCACAGACCATGAGGCTAGAACTGCGTACAGTGAATTTAGTACCCTAAAATGTAATACTTTGTTTATTTTCCTCATCCCAGTGGTACCATCACTCATAGGATGAGCAAAAAATTGGATATAGCAGCAATAAAATCCGAAAATTCTTTTTTGTAAGCATATTTGCAGAAAATGTTTGTTTTGCACGTTGTCTTCTGTAAACTTTCAGCGAGAAAAAAAATCTTCTACTGTAATTATATCCATATTGGTTTATT